TCTCTCTCTCTCTCTCTCTCTCTCTCTCTCTCTCTCTCTGTATGTATGAATGTAGACAGTCAAATGAAAAAAAGATCCAAGATGATACCATAAAGTTCCAACTGGAAAGAAAATAGAGAAAATAATAAAGTAAAAACTATACTTTTGAACTAAAACCCATAGGAATCATTTATTTGCCCCATAAAAAACTTCCCAAATTTTCATGTTCAATAATTGTCCTTTATATTTCTAGAATCCCAAGCTCCATATTAAAGAGAAGAGGAAGAAAAAGATACTTGGATTAAATTAATTTACTAAAAAAAAGAATCAACAGGAATAAATGTGCTGCTTGCTATAAGCAATACAATAAAGTGGAGCACCTGGTTGAGCACATCAGAGTTTCATATCATTCTGTTCATGAGCCCACCTGTGGGATTTGCAAGAAGCACTGCAGATCATTTGAGTCCCTGAGAGAACATCTCATAGGTAAATTTTTCCATATGCAATTTATTTCTTTACTTGACTCCAAGTCTTAGGGTATGTTTGGATCGAGTGAAATATATTTTAAAAAATATTTTCACATGAAAAATTATCTCACATAGTTAAGTGTGGGAATATTTTCACATTAATTGGCTGCCTCAAAAGAGACATTGGGATCGATTGGTGTGAAAATATTCCCACACCTAATCAAGTGAGAGAATTTTTTTTGCATGAAAATATTTTCTGATAAATATTTTCACGCGAACCAAACATGCTTTTAATCCATTTTGTTATTGACATATAAAGTTCTGGTTTTGATTTATTTAAGGTCCATTGCCAAAAGTTGAATGTGCAAGGATCTTCAGCACTAGGGGATGCAGCTTGTGCTTGAACATCTTTGATTGCTCAAATTCTCTTAGGAGGCACAGAGACACATGCCAACTCTCCTCTCCACTTCTCTATGTACGCTCATCATTTGACTTTATTCAATAAATTTATGTCATTGTAGTATAAAACTGTTTATTTTTGGTATGAGAAGGTCACAATATTATTGGATATCAAATGTGAAATCTAGCCGCAAGGAGTGTGTCACAAAGTTAAAAAAAAATTCTTTATTGGGCTTTACACACCTTTGGTATCAGATTCTACATTTAGTGGCAAAAGGTGATTATGTGCTCTTATATCAACAATAGACAGTCTTTTTACTAAACCCAAAAAAACTTAATCAGTCTTTTCGTATGCTTTCGGATAACTGAATATCAATATTGTAAAATATTAGCAGCAATGTCGGAATTACACTTTGTCTCATTCTTTTGTTTCCAATTTTCTACTTGATTTTTCTAGAGAAATTTACCTGTATATCCCATATAAATACCGTAATTACGAAAATCTTCCTTAATTTTTGTATATTAACCATGTATACTTTTGTCGTTACTTTTTTTTTTTATTCCAATTTTACCCACGGTTAGGAGAATGAAAATCCAAAGTCACCAAACCAGTTTATAATCTCAGATTGTAAATATCTGTACTAATCTTCTTTTCTCTTTTTTTTTGTTCTTTTGTTTTTTTTAATTTAAGTCATTTTTTAGGGGGTTAAAAGTCACTTTGGATAATTCAAAGTCACTCTTTGGATTTTGAATATCTGAAGTTGCATGGAAATGACTTAAGATTTTCAATCTCCCGGATGAAAATAAAATTGGAATTAAGAGAATGACACACAAAAGAGATATACGTGTAATATACAAAATTTGTGAAGTTTCTAGTAATTACAGTTTTTATACGGGTAAATTTTCTCATTTTCTAAAATCTGACTTCGGAATTTCAATACCTAGAATGACAATAAAATTGGAATAAAGAAAATTTTCATAATTACAGTTTTATATGGAATATTTTTTTTTTCATAATTACAGTTTTATATGGAATGACAATAAAATTGGAATAAATAAAACTTTCATAATTACAGTTTTCAAAATAAAGAAAATGACAAATAAAATTAATATTTGTGAGGTTTTTCATAATTACAGTTTTATATGGGTAAATTTTCTCATTTCTCTAAAACCGACTATCATCATGAACAGTTTGAAATTTTTGTTTGTGTCCCCTAATTGGCTAGAACACTAATTGTGTTCTAATTATGTATGTTGTGCCCCTTCAATAATATGAAAGAATAAAATCTCCTTTCTGCTTTCACATTTTCTAACTGGGCCCTTTTTAGAAATTGCTTATTAACTATTATGGGCCCTTACTGTCTGCTTTGTTTGTGAATCACCCTTGGTTTCAATAATGAATATTAGGCCCTTTATCATTTTGGAAGAACCAATTGCTTACTACCGATCAAAGAAAAAGAAAAAGGGTGTGCTGTGTATATGGTTGCAACTTTAAATAAACAAATTAAGGGGCACGTCTAAATTTTATAATAAATATAATTTTGGTGTAAAAGAATCTTAGAATGTCTTGAAAATCTATTTTCATCTCTAATTATAAAATCCTAAATTTCAAAAATAGTACAAATCGGGTAAGATCTATAAACACTTGAAAATCTTGAATATGGATGGTCCAGATTAACGTTTTGCAAGATGCAACATATTTAGGACTCCAAATCTTTTTTTTTTTCTTTATTTTCATTCATCTCGATGTCGAGATGATCAATTAGGAGGTTTTTCAAAGATTCGTTCTTTGTTTTTGCAGGGCTCAATTTCTCGACTATCATTGTCAAACATGTATGTTGAGGGTAACTTAGCATCAAAAAATGGACGAAATGGAAGCCAAGCTGTGGGCCTAGCCTGCCAAGTTGTTGGTGGTGGCATTGATGGATCACTTAACATTTGTGCAAGGGTTTGCCTTGTTGATGAGGATGAAAATGTTATTTTTCATTCCTATGTTAAGCCACATATACCTGTAACCAACTATAGGTATTGTTTATCATCATCATCATTATCAAAGCTTTTTTTAAACTAATTGAAGAGGCTATACTAAGACTAATTGCTACAAAAGAAGAAGAAGAAGAAAAAAAAAAAAACTTCAATAGAAAGTGAGTTCCTCTACTTAAATAATAAATATCTTAAACAATGTTCAAATCTCAGATGGTGTTCTGGCTCGAGACTTGACCTTTTCTTGAGCTTTGTAACTCGGACAACTCCAAGTGGATTTGCCCGAGCCACTAACAAGCCCAATAAGGGCCAAAAATTGTAAAATTAAAATTAAAAATAAGCAATAGGCAAAAGCGTTATAAAATTTATTTGAAGTCTATATAAGATGGAAAATGCATATAGAAAATGGAATATAAAAAAATTGATTTATATCTTGAAACAATTCAGGAATATCCAAAAATAGGAAAAAATAGAGCATATAATAAAAAATATTCGTTAAATCATAAATAAAAAACATAAAAAAGTACAACATCTATTAATGATTTCGTAAAAATATATATAAAAATGGAATTTTTTAAAATATATTTGTACACCGAAACTCGCTTGAGCAGTCTACTGAGGCCGATTAACTCAGACGAGTCTTCATAAACTGACCTTAAATCATTTTGTGAAAAGCTTATGACATTCTATACTTTTGTTATTATGGCATAGTGATGTGCATACACAACTAATCAGCTACATTTTTTCTTATTTTCAAATATTATGAAAATAGAAATATGGATTAGACAAAAATATTATACCAACTATTAGAAAGGTTGGTGGGTTGTGCTGTTATATTCGTAACATTTCAACTTTTGTTAGGTATGAAATGACTGGCATAAGAGCTGAGCATCTAAGGGATGCATTACCATTGAAGCAAGTCCAAAAGAAGATCCAAGACATCTTATACAATGGGGAAGTTTTATGGAGGATACGATCCAAAGGAGGAAAAGCAATGGTTCTTGTGGGTCATGGTTTGGATCAGGATCTAGAATGTTTGTTGATGGATTATCCTTCACATTTGATTAGGTATATTCAAGGAAAAAAATTTCATTAATTCATATAAATGATCTTAGTATGGTGCCTCAAACTCCTATTAGTTTTTTCTCATTAGTGATATTACATCATCATGCATAAATGTGATGATACATGTAGGGACACAGCCAAGTACCCTCCCTTGATGAAAACAAGCAAGCTTAGCAACTCACTCAAGTACCTCACTCAAGCCTATCTAGGGCAAGTATTCTTCATTACTTCAATTTGTTTTTACTCTTGTACTTTCTTAACAATATCTTGGTTTTCTAGGCTATATAGATTGAGTACTCTCTCTCTCTCTCTCTCTCTCCATTTTAACAGTGTTCGCAAACTCATCCAGTCTAACTCGGAATCGGCCAGTCAAATTGGACCTGGGCACTGGCTGATCTAGTTTTGGTGGTATGACTAGGTATTTTAAAAATAAAAAATATATACAATCCAAAAAAATAAAGGATTTATTTGTAATGGGTTCTTGAATTTTTTGTATCATTTTGGCAAAAATTAGAAAGCTTTTTGGCCATGAATAAAAATTTCCCATCTTTTTTTTTTTAAAAAAAAAAACCCCCGGGCACAAATAAATTTTTTAAAATCTATTTTTTCTCGCTAGGTTTCAATTTCATTTAGATGTGCTTTGTTTAATCACACTTTAAATATATTTCTCATATATTTTTGGAGTCTCTTGTGGTCCTTTCTTATTTTTTCAATAATTTTTGAACCGGCTGGGACTTGCCCAGTTAGGCCGTTGCACCGGCCAGTTTATCGGTTACTCGGACCAAGCCCTTGGACGGTTTCCAAGGCGAGTTCGATTTCTCTCTCTCTCATAGAAGAATTCAGACTTTCTTTGCACAGGTACGATATTCAAAGTGGCATACATGACCCTTACGAGGACAGTGTGGGTGCAATGAGGCTCTACAAGAGGATGCATTCTCAACTTCACCCCACAGAGGATCCTCTACCTCCAAATGCCACTATAAACTCTACCAATTTGCCCTCATGGAGGCTCAAGGAATTTGAGAGGATGACACCGGATGCATTGTTGGATATTTCTAGGTCGGATTACTATTGCTGGTGCTTGGACTCAAAACAAGCACTAGATTATTGAGATGTGTGCATGAGATCCTTCCAAATTTAATGTTTAATCCCATTGTATTAGTCAAGGAGAAGAGAAATAAAAAGAATGCATTGAGTATGATAATATCATGCAAATGCCTTGAGAGTGGGATATGATATTTGTTTGCTTTCCCCAATTAATGAGTTTCCAAACAAACTTTGGCAACTCCCTTTTCGTGCAAGTCATCAAATTGTGGTTATTCACAATCAAGGGATAATTGGTAAGAGGTGATAGACTAATGGGATTTTGTTACATATAGGTCACAATTATTCTTGTCTATTAGATTTCAAATCAGTTTGTTATAAGAGTGGCATTGACTGGACTCAAAATAAAAAAAATAAAAAATTCACAAACTTTGTATCACACTAAGCCATCCAATGAGACATCTAATTGCTAGGAGTAATTGTGACATCCTTGTAACAAAGATGAATAATCTCATAGTATACAATCCCTGGGCTAATAAAAATCCGATACGTTTACAATTTAAAAAGAAAAAGTAAAAGCAGCTTTGTATCACACTTGAATGGTGATTGTTTCTATCATAAAAAAGGACAGTATGCTACAGCAATGGCCTATGGAAGCATTAGGTTCTAGTGTATCTTTTGCAAGAATTCATGATAGCTACAAAATATCCTTTCTTATACTTTAAAAAAAAGTTATTGTAACCTCTTTGTAACAAAAAGTTCTATTAATTTCTATATAATGGGGTAAAAAGATTTAGGAAATATATGTAATGAAACCATTTATTTTCTATACAAAGAAAGTCACGATCATTATTGATCGTTGGATGTGGAATCGAGTGGTTGAGGATACATCATTGATTGGATACAAAGTCCAAAGTGATTTTTTTTAAAATGTTGTGATATACTTCAATTTATTGGATTTCATATTTAATGGCTAAAATGATTGTGACTTCTTTATACCAGAATTAAATGGTCTCATAATATACAATCCCAAAGATAAACATCGCTTCCAAGTGACTTCTTGTAAAGATAAGCATGACGTCCAAGAGAGAGAGAGAGAGAGGGAGTCTTTTCATAAGTGGTTTGTACAGTTTTCAATTCTAAAGGGAGAGCCTTGTAGTGTACTGGTGCCGCAGCAGGAAAGAGGGAGGTTGATCATCGCTTTTGTTTGGTCAGAAGAGTTTGTTTGGAAAGAAAAATTGGCAAAGGATTTTGTCAATTTTTGTTGTTGTTTGATCCATATATTATGTTGCAAGATATAT